ATAATCCTTTAACAAGATTGATCATGGGGGAAAAAAAGGAACATATATATTAGGAACAAAAAGTAAAATGGTAAAAACATTTTAAAAATGAACAAATTTATGCCAATGTATTTGAAAAGTTAGATGAAATAATGTTCCAGAAAAATATAAATGAAAAAAAAATGCCTCAAGAAGAAATAAAAGACCTGAATAAAACCATTAGTATTGAAGAGATTAAGTGGTTAACTTATAAAAGCCTACTTTCTTAACCAACTTCTTTCCTTTCACTTCAAAGATACAAGGACAGAGTTTTACAGGAGGACGCGCAAATCCTTTCCAAGAGTAGGCAGCTCTTACATGAAATATAAAACTTGGAAAGCAAGCGAGACAGATTGGTCCCTACTTGCAAACAACATGATTTCTAGAAAGAATATCTAAGAGAATCCATACACAATCAGAACTAATAGGGGTTCAACAAGGATGTCTGATATAAAACCAATACACAAAATCAATCAGGCCAGGTACAGTAGCTCACACCTATAATCCCAGTCTTTAGAAAGCCAAGGTGGAAGAATCACTTGAGACCAGCCTGGGCAACACAGGGAGACCCCATCTCTACAAAAAATAAAAAAAAATTAGCCAAGTATGGTAGCACACGCCTGTAGCCCCACTTACTGGGGGGATGAGACAGGAGGATCACTAGAACCTGGGAGTTCATGGTTACAGAGAGCTATGACTGTGCCACTGCACTCCAACCTAGGCAACAGAGCGAGACTTTGTCACAATAAATAAATTTTAAAAATTTTTAAATGGCATGCCTGTACACCACCAACAACCAATTTAATGAAAATGTAAATAAACAAGATATCAAAACTCAATATTGCAAAAACAGCAATGTTCCCCAGATTCATTTATAAATCGAAAACGATTTCAATGAAAATCCTGACAGTGTTTTCATGGAGAATTGATTTTAAAACTCATACCGAAGAGCAAAGTACCAAGAATAGCTAAAATAGTTTTGAAGAAGAAGAACAAGGTAAGGAAGATGTGAAGTTGACACATGGTTATACAAATAAGAGAGCCTAAAAATCAAACTTGTGCATGAAAGAGGTTGCATTACAATTGAAATAGATGAACTATTTGATCTATGATGCAGAAAGCACATGTCTTATCCATATGGAAAAATAAAATTATGTTCCTTATGATATTCACAAAAATAAATTTTATGGGATTAGAGATATAACTCAAAAAAGCAAATTGTAGAAACTGCTAGAAAAAATACAGCAGGCCCTTTTAATGACTTTAGTGGCAGGGAAGGATTATCTTAAAACACAAAAGACAAAGCACAAATAAAGTGAAAAGACAAGCCACAAAGCAGAAAATATCTGTAATGCAAATGACTGGCAAAGAATACCAAGAATATTTAAACACTAAAAAGCAAACAATCTAACAGAGCAATGGACAAAGATAAAAAATAGGTAAATCACAGAGAAACCCCAAATGGCCGATAAAAATACGAAAACACATTCAACCTTACTTATAATAAGAAAAAGGTAAATTACTACAGAATTAAGATATTATTTCAAAGGTTGGCAAAAATTTAAAAGCCTGAGAGTGCCAAAATGGGCACAAAGGGGAAACGCATACTCTGGTGTGAGTATAAATTAAAATAACCACTTGAGTTGAACGTGCTTATAGCCTACAATGCAAAACTTCCAATAGAAACTCTTGTTCATATGTAAGAAATGAAGGTGTTATAAGAATATTCACTGAAAAATGGCTTATAACAAAAAATTAGAAATGACTATGAAATTCATCAATAAATGAGTGAATAAATTACAGTATATTTATACAGTAGCATACTCCACTGCAGTTAAAACAAATTATCAGTACACATACCAACATACATATTCTCAAAAACAGAAAAATGAGTTAAAAAATGAGCTACAGAATGATCTCACGTATATGCATTTTAGAAACTTGCATCAACAGCAAATTTCATGGATACATAAACACTCAGCAACAGTATAAAAATATTCAGGAGAATGAAAAATACCATATTTATGAGAAGAGTTTCTTTAGGGAGGGAGACAGAAGAGGAATGGGAATATGGAAAGGAACAGAGGAGGTATTAACTGTATCTTTAATATTAGATACACAGGTACACAGACAGATATAGATACATATGCCATAATTTCAAGATTTCACGGTAGTTGGGTTGTGAGTACATGGATATTTATTTTCTATATCTCTATATATTTGAAATATGTTATAAATTTCCTTTATATTAGTAAAAGGAAACATTTTAAAAACTAGAGTTGTAGTATTAACATAAATGCAACTCAAAAACAAAATGTTGAGTTAAAGAATTTAGTCAAACATGGGTGAAACAAACATTTTTTATAACTACATATGTATTGGTAATTGTATCGGCTTTTATGGGAATGAACAACTCCAAATTCACGATGATGGTTGTCTCTGGGGAGGGAATAAGAGGAACAGGATGAGGGAAGGGTACACAGGAAGTTTCAGCTAAATTTATGACTTCTTTTAAAAGTCTGAAACAAATATTGCATTTGCTAAAGCTTACTACTGGATGGCTTTTAAAAAACATATTTATATGTAAATAATGGTAGCAACAACAATAATAGACAATAACAAGTAAGAATAGAGCCAACATTTTGAGCACCTATTATGTAGTAGCCACACTTCTCCTATCCAAGGACTAAGCTATCCAGGCCAGACCCTGCTTAGCTTCCGAGATCAGAAGATATCGAGAGCATTCAGAGTGAAGTGGCCCTAGACTAGTAGCCACACTTCTAAGTATTTACATGCATAATCCTAAAAACAACCCTAGGACGTAGATTATATTACTATCCTCGTATTATGAAGAACTGAAGCAGAGAGAGGTGAAGTTCATCCAAGGTTATAAAGTTAATTAATGAAAGTAAGAAAAGAAGCTAGGACTCCTGCAGTTTAATACCTTACAGTTTAATACCTTTGTTGTTATTATCATTTGTTATTCATTTCTGTATGATGGAAATATTTCTTAGAAAACACTATTAATCCCGCCCCCAACACACACACATATATATTTCAGTGTAGTTCAAACTGGTTCTAAAGATGCTAAAAGAACTCTAGGTATGTCATGAAAAAAGCAGCATCCCAACTACTCTACTGATTTACATGTTTGAGGTTTGGTATTTTTTAAGACCATTATTTCATGGTCAAACATTATTTCTTCAATAGCCCTAAAATAATAATTTACAATCTTAGAAACTGACATGGGGAAGCATAAAATATAACTCAACATCTCTCTCTCAGACGGAAAACTGGATTTTTACCTTTAGGTCTGAAAACTCGTATTAGGAGTTTTTAGTAAGCAGTTCTGGCAAGAAATTGAATGAAATTTCAATTATTCATTTTTTCCTAGTCTCTTAAGTTATGAGTTGGTTTATTTTTAAAAAATCAGTACCTAATATTATACAATGATAAATATCATTTGTATAGGACTATTTATACCAAAATAAAAGGGAAATTGGCATTCTCAGTGATCAAAAATGTATCAGCATTTATTATGTGCTAACCCCATACTCTCTGTAGCAGTAACCACTTCTTAAATGTACATTTCTGTTACCATGTCTTAAAAATGTCTTCTCTTCTCAAGCTATATACCCACATTCTCATTACTATTATCTACAGAATGTCTTCAAAACACAAAAAAAGAAATTCTTCCTTTCAAAGAATTCACTGTATAGTAGTAGGGGAAACAAACCAGTAAACAAAAGTTATCTGTAATACATAGGTACTTCAATAAAGGTATTTAAAAGTATTAGAGTAACAAAGGTTGGAGGAGATGAAAAGGTGGCTGGTGCACTTTTATAATAGGAAATCTGGAAAATGACAAACAGGAGACACCACATTAGAGTACTCTTTTAAGAAAACTTGTTTTAAAAGAAACAAGAGAGGCTGGCATGGTGGCTCACGCCTGTAATACCAGCATCTGGGGAGGTCCAGGAGGGAGGATCACTTGAGGCTAGGAGTTCGAGACTAGCCTGGGCAACGTAGTGAAACCCCATCTCTTAAAAAAAGAAATAAAAAATGAGCTGGGCATGGTGGTGCACACCTGTAGTCCTAGCTAATCGGGAGGCTGAGGCAGGAGGATTGCTTGAGCTCGTGGAGTTTGAAGCTGCAGTGAGCTGTGATCATGCCACTGCATTCTAGTAAGACCCTGTCTCTAAATAATAATCGTAAATATATAAAAGAAGATAGGGTAATAGTAGGAACATAGATTCTAGAAGTACTAAAGATGGGAGAGAGAAATACTTCGCATTAACTCCTCTGATATATTTTCCTTGACTACATTTATCTAAGACTAAATCCTAGCTGTTCATTTACTACTCATGAGCAAGTCATTTAACATTTCAAAGCTTCAAATATGATGCTAGATGTTCAAGAACTCTAAATTACAGAGGGAATCTGAATAAATGATCTCTAAAGTTCTTTCTAGATTTGAAATTCCATAATTCTAAGACTACCAGAGGCTCTGAACTCTAAACTCAAAAAGAAATCACAAAATATTCAGTATGTAAAGAAGAAAAATCAAGATCATTAAGAGGTTTTATACTTGCATCTTATTTTTGCAAAACTGCTATTAATAAAACAATTTCTAACCTGAACATCAGTAAAATTCCCATAAAAAGACAGCACATTTTTATAAATGTTGGTAAAGTGCTTCTCTCCCACAATACTGCACACTTCTGGGAAAAAAAAATCACCAATAGAAGTACACTGCTTAAAAGCCCATAGCGTAGACTTGTAAGTCATCTTTTAAAATGAAGATGTCTATCAAATATGTGTATTACATATTTACTACAACGTATTTATCTCACCCTTAAAATGTTAACGTACAAGTTGAAGATTCATGACATTTCAAAAAACAGCTGATATTAACTCATTATAGTAATATGCTTTTGTTTTATTATCACACATTCTGAAATTTGTAACAAGGTTTCCCTTACCTGATATGGACACGGAATGTGATATTCTCTGCAGCGTTCCTGTATCCACGTTGTTTCCCAGATGCCACGGTAAGCTTGCTCATAAAAGTAGCATCCAATTACAACCAAGAGTGGTACGAGATAAAGAATGCTGAAAACACCAATCCGGATCATAAACTTCACTAATTTATCTTGGTTCTCCTTTTCTAATGGAATCTCAATTCGAACTCTGTTTAGGGATATAATGCCAGCTAAGAGGAGAGAAACCCCAACTACCACATACAGGCAGAGGGGAGCAAGAACAAAATATCTCAATGCATCAACATCGTAGAGGCCAACAAAACACACGCCACTAATATTATCACCTTCAATTTTATTCATCGCTAAAAGGATGATAGTTAGAGTTCCAGGGATGCCCCATGCACTGGCGTGAAACAGCAATGCTTTCTTCTCAATAGCTTCACTACCCCACTTTGGCACAGCTGCTAAAAACCATGTGATGGTAAGAATTACCCACCATACACTGCCAGCCATAGTAAAAAAATAGAGTACCATAAAAAGCATGGTACAGGCTTTATTATGAGATCCTTGTGTCACTGTGGAAGCCTTATATTGTGCAGGGATGGACGCATTGCAGGCTACTCGATCCTCAAGCAAAAATCCAATGAAGAAAATTAAGGATACCATCATGTAGCAGACTGCATAAAATATAATAGGCCTTTCAGGATAACGGAATCTTGTGACATCAATCAAAAAAGTTAAAAAAGTAAACAATGTGGCAGAGAGGCAAATGATTGAAATCAATCCTATGAAATAGCGAGCAAATGATAGTTCTTCTCTCCTGAAGTACATATTTGGACAAGGAGGTGAACAATCACGCACGTGCAGAAAAGAATAACCCAGATCAGGATCAATTTTTAACTCTCGGGGACACCAAAAACCATAGTCTCTCTGCACTGCCACTGGGGCTCCTTCAGTTGGTTCTCCAGCTAAATTCAGATCCACAAGTCGAGGATACGGCTCATCACAATCTGGGAACCTAAAAAACAAAACAACAGGAGAACTATTTTTACTTATGGGGAAATCTACCACGATCTAACAATTTGGATTTCCAAATCTGGCACTCACAACCTTATTTATTCCTGGAGAGCAAAAGTAATATGTAGAAATAAAGTAAATGGTGATATCTTGTTTGTGGTCCATACAACCAGATTTTTGACAGTTGAGCAAAAAATACTAGTTGTATGTCTTGAGAAAGTATGATAGCCTCGAGACAAAGAAAACAAGGTTGTGTTGCAGATATTTATGCAACTAAGGAGACCATTATCATGAACTCCCTTCATCTTTAATTTTTTTGCCAATAACTGTTTCTAAGACTTTAGACTCCCAGTAACTAGCTGTTTGCTGTTTTATATGCATCAAATAGTTTCTAAGAAACTATCATTAAGTTTGCCAAACACATATATAACCTTATACTGTAGATGATTAATATCTTCAAATTTTTTAGATTTTCTAATACAAACCATTTTCTTCACAGATAATTACAAAGCCAATGACAGAATGTATTGCATTCAAGTATTTATTGGAACACTGCAATATGCCAGGAGTTAAAAAGATAAAAATACAGATCTCTATCCTTGAATCTAGAAGGAGACACATACTTATAAACACAACATACACAAAATATAGCAGTGTGACACTCTGCTGGCAATTAAAATCTGTATGAGGTACAAAAATGATAATGATAAAGACAAATTAATTACATAAGTGGTAGGAATTATGACAGACTTCACAGAGTAAGTTCCCCAATACAGGATTTTAAATCAGTATTAGCAGTAAGCCAATCAGCATTCTAGTAAGCAAATATAAACATAGGCATAGGTGTCTGAAAAGGGTGTGTTTGTTACTGCTGGAACATGAAGTGTGCATGACTTGTGGCAGGGGATGAGACTGGAGAGGTAAGCATGTTGCAGAAATGTGTGTGTGTGTGTGTGTATGTGTGTAAACATTAACAAAATTTAAAACCATGTAAACACTACAATTTTCCCATGTTACCCGATACTGATATATCTATGGAAATTATTTGTATATCTAACTGCCAACCCAACATATACACTTAGATATATAATAGGCACCTCAATCTTCAACCCTTCTGAAAGCAAATTCTTGACTTCTACTCCACAGGTTTCCCCATATCAATAAGCGGTTATGCTATACTTCTAGCTGCTCAGGCCAAAAACCTTGGGGTTATCCTTGATGTCCCTTATCTTTCATATACACATCACAATCTACCAGCATTTCCTGTGATTCTACTTAGTGATACATCAGGAAACCGACCTCTTCTCATTTCCTCCCCTCTGGTGCCCAGTCTGAGCCATGAATACTTCTTCCCTGGACTTCTAGAGGAGCCTCCAATTGATCTCCATCTCCACAGAGCAGCTAAAGTAATCCTTTAAAGATATGCTACTCCTGTGTCCGTGATTCTCCCTCTCTTCTGCTTAAAACCCTCTAATGGCTTCTCATCTCAGAGTCAAATCCAAATTCCCTACCACAGCTACACAGACCCTCAGCCCCAGTACTTCTCTGATCTTATTTCCTTCCATTCTCCCTCACTCACTTGGCTCCAACCACTTTGGTCTCCTGTCGTTCTGAGTTTAGGAAGCATGGTTCCACTTCAGAGTCTCTGTACTTGCTGCTCTGTTTCCCCTCTGCCTAGCCTGCTCTGCCCCCAGATATCATCATTTGTTTTCTCACTTCATTCAAGTCCCTGGTCCAAAGCCTCCTTATCAAAAAGGACTTCTCCAAGCACTCTATAGAAAATAGAATCCCTCTGCTCTCCTATATTGTATCCCTATCACCTACCGCATTTGTTCTTATTAGCATTCATTTTCCTGTGACATTGTCTACAATTTTATTTACCTCCACCACTAGAATTTTCACTCCATAAGAACAGGATCTCTGTTTTCCTCACTGCTCATTTTTGGCATCTAGAATAGTGCCTAGCACACCAAAGACATTCAATTGACATCTGTCGAACTAAAGAATGTTGGTTGAGTGAATATATTCATATAACCCAAACCCAAGTAATCAGAAAGGTAACCAGGAGCAGTGTAAAAGATAGACTTGAGTAGGGCAAAAATGGGGGCAGGGACACCAGATGTGCCAAAATGAAAGCCAAATAAGGCAGCGAGAATGAGATGGATATGAAATTAGCTAAAAGCAACAGAATGCATAACTTGAATGTGGGAGTTAAGATCAATGAAGTAGGAACAGAAGATACTTCAAGGGAATAAAAAAGTAAGCCAAGAAGTAAAATCAATTTTACATATGCCAAAATTGAGGTTGCTGAGACAAACTGAGGCCAGGATTTCCAATGGCTACTGGATATATGTTAGGATTTTCAACAGCTGCTGGATACATGCAGGTTTTGAGCTTTGCAGGGAGAGGCTACAGATTCAGGTTTAGGAATTATCAGTATATAAATAAGAGTTAAAATAGGTGAGATGAGATTATCCAGCGAGGGCTGTAGAGAACGGAACCAAACTCTGGGAAGCACCATTATTCAAGGGGCAGAAAAAAGAGGAACATCCAGGAAGGAAACTGAGAAGGAACAGTCTGAGACATAACAGATCACAATAGTTCTCTTACACGATGGACTGAATCATTTTCAGGAAAGGAGGACAGGCTGAGGTTGAAGGAAATAAAGGTGAGATACAAGTTTAAGTGATACAGATTTGGCACAAGTGCTGAGGAAAATGAACAGAAATTTTTCTGACCAAGACAAGTGGTTACAAATAGAAAATACAACTGCTGTAATTTCAGAATCATTAAATATATAGCATAATCAATTTGTAAAAAAATTAATCAGTCTATTTGGAGGTCTAAATAAGTACAGTAAGAGAAATGAGATGAAACTGCTATCAAACATGTTATTTCAAGTGATAGACCACAACATTTAAGCTAAATAAATAAACAAATGAGACCAGAAAGGGTCTATTTAGGATAAAAAGATAAAAATTCTGGGGTTGTCCATGAATTATTAGAATAGGTGCTGTCTTCGTCCATTTTGTGCTGCTATGACAGAATACCTAAGACTGGGTAATTTATAAAAACCAGGGATTTATTTCTTACAGTTCTAGAGGCTAGGAAGTCCAAGTCAAGGGGGCCTGCATCTGGGAAGGAGGTGCATCCTTGGTGTACCAACCCATGGCAAAAGGGCAAGAGAGCATGGGGGTCCAGGGAGGAAAAGAGGCCAAACTCATCCTTTTATCAGGAACCCACTCTCGCAATAACTAATGCCCTCCTGAGATAATGGCATTAATCCATTCATGAGGGTGGAGTCCTCATGATCTCTTAAAGGTCTCACCTCTCAGCACCTGTTGCACTGAGAATTAAGTTTCCAACACATGAACTTTGGGGGACATGAATATTCATGAAACAATCCCCACTGCAGTGGCACTCAGAGGCAGAGCCTGGCCAAGTGCAGTGGCTCAGTTTATAATCCCAGCACTTTAGGAGGCCAAGGCGGGAGGACTGCTTAAGGCCAGGAGTTTGTGACCTCCTTGGGCAACAAAACAAGACCCCATCTCTACAATTTTTTTTTTTTTAATTAGCTGGACATGGTGGCACGCACATGTAATCCCAGCTACTTGGGAGGCTGAGGCAAGAGGACTGATTGAGCCCAAGAGTTTGAGGCTGTAATGAGCTATGACTGTGCCCCTGCACTCCAGCCTGGGCAACAGAGCGAGACCCTATCTCCAAAAAAGAAAAACGAAGTGAGGTCTTTGGGACAATTAAGGGATTAATGTCCTTATAAAAGAGGCTGCAGAGTGAGCTTGCCCCTCTTGCTCTCCTGCCACATGGGGATACAGTGTTCCTATCCACTGAAGGATGCAGCAACAAGGTGCCATGTTGGAAGCAGAAAGCAGCCCTCACTAGAAACACAACCTGCCTGTGCCTCTGACTGAGAAATAAATTTTTATTATTTATAATTTGCCCAGTCTGTGGTATTTTGTTATAGCTGCACAAATGAACCAAGGCAACCAGTATAGTAGGTACAAAAGTATGAGAGCTATGGAAGAATAAAAGGTTGCTATGAAAGTTCCCTTTGAGGCTGGGCACGGTGGCTCATGCCTGTAATCTCAGCACTTTGGGAGGCCAAGGTGGGCAGACCACCCAAAGTCAGGAGTTCAAGACCAGCCTGGCCAACATGGTGAAAACCTGTCTCTACCAAAAATGCAAAAATTAGCTGGGCATGGTGGCGGGTGCCTGTAAGCCCAGCTCATCGGGAGACTGAGGTAGGAGAATTGCTTGAACCCAGCAGGCAGAGGTTGCAGTGAGCCGAGATTGCGCCACTGCACTCCAGCCTGGGTGACAGAGCGGACTCTGTCTCAAAAAAAAAAAGAAAAAAAGAAAGTTCCCTTTTTCAGAATTTCAGATTTCAAATTTAGGCAATCCCAGGATATAATGAGGACATAAAACAGGTTTAATCCTATCAAAACAAATTTTAAAAATAAAGATTATGAGATTTCTATGCTTATATATAAGCTATTAAAATAAAAAGACACCTAAACAATAGGCGTTAAATACAAGAAGCATAAAACAAGAGTTCCTACCCAGGCAATTCATAATTGTTTTATTTACGGACTTCTAAAAGAGAAACTAGCAACATTTTCAGGTGTCTGGAGAGAGAAGAGATGAATGGTTAGATGGGACTAAATAAAAGGGCAGGTAAAATAGGTGGGAAAGAGACAAATATGAGAAAGCAGAACATCAATGAATTGACTACAAGAAGCTAATACAGTAGTCCCCATTTAACATCGTAGATAGATTCTTTTAAACTGTGACTTCAAGCAAGACACCATACAGCAGGTCCTTAAAAATCACTGTTTTTTTTTCAACGTCATTTTGTTATAACGTTTATAAGAAAACAAATTGGTATCCACGAGGCTAAGGCAGGAGAATCGCTTGAACCCGGGAGGTGAGGTTGCAGTGAACCAAGATCATGCCACTGCACTCCAGCTTGGGGCACAGAGTGAGATTCCAGTTCAAAAAAAAAAAGAGAAGAGAAAAGAAAACAAATTGGTTTCATTAAATGTCATTCTGCTTAAAGTCACATATTCTGAGAACCTATCAACAACGTTAAGTGAGGACTTACTGTACAGTATTTATTATTTCTTAAGTTTCTCCATCTGTCAAGTAAGTAACAAAATCTGCTTTACTTGCCTCCAAGGGCTATTGCCAGACAACAAACAAAATTATTTTTAAATATGAAGGAGAAAAGAAGGTTGCTTATAATAACAAAAACCTGGAAACAACCTAAATGACCATCAGTAGAAAGCTAAATAACTGTAGGATATTAATACAATTGGCCACTACACGGCAATTAAAAGGAATGTACCAGACCTACAGGTTACAGGTACAAACACAGATAGATACATACAAAAATGTTGTGTTGTTTATGGATATGCATATATGTAGTAAGAGTATATAAGCAAACATGGGAATGATTTTAAAACAAATTCAACATAAAGATTATCTCACTCCTGGGGGGTAAGAAGATAATAAGCTCAAGATGGATAATAAGGAAAAACCTTCAATTCAACCTGTATTGTTTTATTTCTTAAAAAAAATCTGAAGCCAATATTACAAGCTGTTAAGATTGGGCAAAGCTAGATAATAATAGATGCATAAGTATTCACCTTAATCTTTATCCTTGAAATATTTCAGAATACAAATAGGTAAAACATTGCTATATAATAAATACAGTATATTATTACTAATAACAATGCTCACTCAAATGAAACTTTAAGAATGTCTAATAAATCCTCAAAACTTTAAGACATGCTTATTATAGTCTATATACTGGATGTAATTTGAAAAGTGTTTGACATTTTCTGGATTTGGTATGTTAATACTTGACAGAAAAAAAGAACTGAGAGAACTATCCTACAAGTCTATAGTTAAATCATAAAGGTATTTAAGCTCCTGCAATGATGAGGCAATAAATGGTTTTCTTCTCTGCATAATTTTTCACAAATAGCACTATTTTCATAATCAGAAAAAAATGTTTTAAAGGGGGAAAAATCAACTGTCTTGACTATGTAATTCTTAAGTCTTTTAAAAACTTCTTCACAGAAATGTTTTCTTTTTCATTTAGTGCTTCCAAATTTCTAAGCAAATAAACAATTCTGAGGCCATAAAACTGCTATTCAAAATTAATGACTAATATGTACACTTCAAAAAAAGTTTTTTAAAACAGATGGAAAAGAAGACAAGTAATTTCAAACATATTGCAACATAAGAAATGATCCATGAAAATCTACAATTTTCGCACCTACTGCATTCCATATCTTCAGGCCAAGGAACACCGAACATCTCCATGAGCTTCGAACACTCACTGTAAGCCCGCTGACACAGCCTACGACAGGGAAGTGTGACACGTCCATATTCCATACAAATAGGAGCATAGAGTGCACAAAGAAAAGGCCGGAAATCCCGAGAACAATCCAGATTCACCATAGGGTGGAATGGCTAGGGAAAAGTTAAAATTGAATAATTAGTTAAAGAGCTGTATACAAGTTAAAGCTTTCTATAATATTGCAACATTCTCTTTCTCATTAAAAGAAAATTCTGAGGGTTATTAAAATTTTCTGAAGGGGAGTTTTTGGTTTTTTAAATAAAACTCTCCTAGCCCTACCCTTGAAGATTCTGATTTAGTTAAATGTGAGGTGTATCCCAGAATCTATATTTTAGGTGATATTAATGAAGAAGCAGGGTTGAGAACCACTGACAATATCCATTTTACAAAGAATAAATACACAAAAGATATGCACCAAATGTTCAAAAGTGTGACTAAATCGGTGATGGGATTACAAGAAATTTTAGTTTTCTTCCTTTAAGTATTTCTTTCTTTCTTTTTCTTTTCTTTTTTTTTTGAGATGGAGTCTCGCTCTGTTGTCCAGGCTGGAGTGCAGTCGCATGATCTCGGCTCACTACAACCTCCACGTCCCACATTCAAGCAATTCTCCTGCCTCAGCCTCCCGAGTAGCTGCGATTATAGGCGTGCACCGCCACGCCCAGATAATTTTTGCATTTTCAGTAGAGACAAGGTTTCCCCATGTTAGCCAGGCTGCTCTCAAACTCCCCACCTCAAGTGATCTGCCCACCCTGGCCTCCCAAAGTGCTGGGATTACAGGTGTGAGTCACCACACTTGGCCTCCTTTAAGTATTTCAATTTCTAAATTCTCTTCAATTAACAATAGTCAACAGGAGAGAGAGGACAAGTAATAGGAGAAAAAATGGGAGGAGGAGAGGAAGGTAAGTAGCAACATAGTAGCAATTTAAGCATTGAGGGTAGGGAAAGGGCTCTCACTTTGGGCTCAAATTTTCTTGATCTTTTTTTTTTTTTTTTAAAGACAGGGTCTCGCTCTGTCACCCAGGCTAGAGTGCAGTGACAGGATCTCAGCCAACTGCAACCTCTACCTCTTAGGCTCAAGCAATCCACCCACCTCAGCCTCCTGAGTAGCTGTGATTACAGGCACGCACCACCACACAGGTTAAAAATTTTGTATTTTTTGTAAAGACAGGGTCTCACCATGTTGCCCAGGCTGGTCTTAAACTCTTGGGCTTAAGCAATCTGTCCACCTCAGCCTTCCAAAGTGCTGGGATTACAGCACCATGCCTTTTTCACATTTTAAATAGAGTTCTTTATACTGTGAAATCACATGATGTAAACAAAGCTAATGCTGTAAGTTAATATTAAGGGAAAAAAAACAGTAGCCCCAAACATAAAACCCAGTAAAATAATCATTTCAACCACAGGAATAGAAAAAATATCCCAAGGATGTGCATCTGTGCTTTTGACTATGGAATATTTTTTGCATTTATTTATATAAAAGTTTGAGTCACTGCTGATTTTGAAGTTGTTAGAGATATTCTTACCACCAGGCCTTTCTAATGTGGACGAATCAATTTGTTTCTGCACTGATGTATATTATTTTCCAGAGCCTCCTATACATAATACAATTAGAAAATCAAGAGTCACTTAAAGAAACTGATGTCAGAGAACTATAAAATGAATATAATAACTGATATATAACAAACTATGACCTTCACTTCTAAGAAAGAGTACTCTGTATTACACCAATGTTTCCATCAAGAACAACTTACAAAGAGAAAAAAAGTTTTAAGTTATCTATTTAAAGCCACTGGAGAACTGCTAAAGAACTTCAGATGGAATAAATTCAAAGAGCAGGAAAGCACAAACAGGTAGCTTGATACGTACAGCCACTTTTCGAAGCAGGTATTTGTTGAACTGGGCATAAGACAAGAGGCTAGGAATCAAGCTTGGCCTAGGCTGTGCTGGAGAACCTGAGAAACTAGCAGAGCTGTAGGTGGTCTTTTCAGGCTATAGAGACAAAATTGGAAATGAAAGAAGTAAGATCTAAGTGAGAAGAAGTGGGAAGGATTGAGCCTAACACAGAGTCAGTTTTCCCTATGTGTATCTGAAAATTCTAAAGCTACACAGGAAAGGAAGCTAAGAAGCTAAGCAGAAAGAGAACAGAGTGGAGATTCTGGCAGTCTTATCAGCCTAAAGAGACATCAATTACAGTTCAACCTCCACACAGCATCTCAACATACCAAACTTTCTGCTGAGAAGTCCTGAATGACTACACCCTAGTAGCAGAGACAAATCAGAGGGAGAGACCTACCAACACTGCAATGCAGCCTCTAACTCAGCTCAGTTCCTGACTGAATTAAAGTGATCTGCTGGCTGGATACAACAGCTCACAGCTGTAATCTCAGTACTTTGAGAGACCAAGGCAGGAGGATCACCTGAGCTCAGGAATTTGAGATCAGCCTGGGCAAAACAGCAAGACTATCTCTACTTTAAAAAAAAAAAAAAAAAAGCTAGGCATGGCGGCATATGCCTGTAGTCCCAGCTACTTGGGAGGCAGAGGCAGGAAGATCACTTGAGCCCAGGTGTTCAAGGCTGCAGTAAGCTATGATCGAAGCTGCAGTGAGTTACGATCACATCACCACATTCAGCTTGGGAGACAGAGTGAAACCCTGTCTCTAAAAGAAATAAATAAATAAAACAAATAAATAAAAGTAAAGTGCTAATTGCATTTATCTGCTAAGCAGAAAAGAGGATTAATCTTTTCTATAGTAATATAACCTATCTGGAATCTCACTAATATTTTATAACGTCTAGCACTTAGTAAAAAATTACTGGGCATCTCAAGAGACAGGGTGATATAACTGAAAACCAAAAAAAAAAAAAAAAAAGAGTGATCCAGCTCTTAGAGTTAACAGACAAGACTGTATATAACTATGACTATCTTTTTTATCTTCAATAAAAGATTAAAAATTCATCAGAAAGTTAGAATTATAATAAAATTAAAATTCTATAATTGAAATTATATTACTGAAATTAAGAACTTAATAGAGATATCAAAAGATAAGACTCGCAGAACAGAAAACAAGGCAAAAGAAAATATTCAAACAGAAGGAAGGTCACAGACCAAAAAATACAGAAAAGAGGGTAAGAAACATGTAAAACACACAAAAAAGATCTAACACATGTAAATGCAATCTCAAAAGGACAGATCAGCAAGAACGGGGCAGAGGCAAAATCTACAAAGATGATGGCTAAGGATTTTCCAAAACTGATTAAAGACAATCACCTACAGATTTGAGAAGTTCCCCAAACCGCAAGGATAAATACAAGAAAACCTCAGCTAGGCATATCTTATTTAAACAGTTGAAAACCAAAGAAAAATATGTTAAGGGCGGTCAGTGGAAAAAGGACATTACCTTCAAGGAAGTGACAGTAACTTTCAGAGCTGACTTCAGAAAACCAGAAAACAATGGAATGGCTTATTTAAAAAGCTGAGAGAAAATAACTGCAAACCTATAATCTCTAGCCAGTAAAAATATTATTTACAAATGAAGATAAATACACTTTTAGATAGACAAAAAAGGAAAAAATAGCCATCAGCAAACTGCACTAAAAGAAATGCTTGAAAGTTCTTTAGACAGAAGGGAAATGATCTAAGATGAAAATTAAAAATGAATTAAGAGCAACAAAAGGGATGACTGTGGGAAAATATAAATGAATACTCTGTGCCAACAAAAATAATATCATCTTAAAATACATACAAAATACACGTAAAATTAACATGCATTATAGTAAAGTGGAAACGGTGGAGGGTCAGAAGAGCACTAATGGGGGAATGGTTGAAGTAATTATTTCTATCAGAATATTATAAGTCAAAAGTACCTATCATAATTTTTAGGGTAAACAATAAAAGAACGCACAACTAACAAAGCAACAGAGAGGGAAACAAACAATAAAAAGAAGAAGGCAAGGTAAGAGAGAAAAAAAGGATGCAAAATAGTTTGAACAAATTAAAATCAAATAGTAAGACTATAGATATAAACCCAAGTAGATCAATGAAAATTTTAAAAACCACCAACAGAAAAGAAAATTATAAAAAATTATTCCATTTAAAAGAGTATCAAAAAGAATAAATACTTAGGAATAAATTTATCCAATATCATGTAAGACAGAAAATTATAAAATATTGTTGACGGAAACTGAAGACCTAAATAAACAGAAAGACATCCTGTGTTCATGGTTTGGAAGACAACGTTGTTCAGATGGCAATACTCCCAAAAAAGACCTACAGATTCAGTGTAATCCCTTCAAAAATCCCAATGGCCTTCTGTTGTTGCAGAAATGGAAAAGCTGGTCCTAAAATTCATATGGAATTACAAGAGACTCTGAATAGCCAAAACAATCTTGAAAAAGAACCAACTGGTATACTCATATTTTCCAATTTAAAAACGTATCACAAAGCTATTATAGGAATCAAAAGTGTGTACTAGATAAGGACAGACATATAGTTTAATGGGACAGAATCAGGAGTCCAGAATTAAACCGTCACATGTGTGGCCAATTCATTTTCAACAAAGATGCCAAGACTGTTCAATGGGAAAAAAGTCTCTTCAACAAAAGACAGTGGAATAAGAGAAAATCCATACGCAAAAGCATAACATGAGTCTCTTACCTTACCTTATATACAAAAATTAACTCAAAATTTTATCAAAGGCCTAAGTATAAAAGCATAATCTATGAAACTCATAGAAGAAAACATGGGGCAAATCTCCATGACCTTGGATTTAGCAGTGGTTTCTTAGATATGACACCAAAAGCACAAGTTGAAAAGAAAAAAATTGGTAAACTGGACTTCAACAAAAATAAAAGCTTTTGTGTACTGAAGGACACTATCAGGAGAGTGAACAGACAACCAACAGAATGGAAGAAAATATTTGACGTTCAAGCCGCTCTAAAATAATAATTGGTTTCAGCTGATGCCAGGGAACAGCATCCTCCCAACAGATAAGAAAAACCTGAAATTGGTGATTAGCAGCTTCCCGATAAGATCTCAGGAGCTGAGGGAGTGGGCTCAAACATGTTCACTAAGAGGCAAAATAGCAGCATTTTACTGGTATATGACCTTCCCCTA